TGAGCTGCCAATGCATTTAGATCTTGACATAAGAATTACCAATGATCTCAGGATGCTCCTAGGCTTAGTTTTCCTATATTTATCAAGAATATTACTATGATTCTCAAATGCGACCAAAAAAATTTGAAGCGGCAGAATAATCGAAAAATTAAAATTGTTTTCCACCATTTTCCATTTTTTCGTCAAATTGGGGTGTTGACAACAAAGATCTATGAGGTACTCAAAATTTTTATATCTGGCCTCTCTCAGACTGCACTTGCCACTAATGACGCTTATAATTCTTTACACCTGAAAGTTTAAATTATAGAAAAATGGTTAATCTGATTATTTCTTTAAGCAGTCTGACCGTACCTTTTAAGGACGAAATCGCGATGTATTAAGAGACGTTGTTGCATCTGCATCAAAACCTTTCAACGTGGCTCCTTAATCCGACTTAAGAATATAAGATTGCCAAGCGACTCTGGCAGCATGCACAACTTTTAAGCGCTTTATGCTAATCAAGAGTGATGACAACCAAATTGTAATGATCCCTTAAACATTGTATCTTCACCTGTTCTGTGCTTCATGAAAAACGAATACACGGAATGTACATTAAGCTTATCAGCAACTGAATGGAAAGGTTTTGTGTCCCAAGTACAATAATAATTGTTGTACGTACCATGGCTTATTACAGGTTTATTCATGTGTGTCTTCAATGTGGTACAAAAAGTGATTTTAATGAGGATATAAGGAGAATTTAAGCACGTAGAATCATAAATACATTGTAGAATAATGATTTTTTTATAGCATTACAACACCAAGTATAAAACTGGATAATAATTTAAAATACTCGGGAAATAATAACTCACAAGTCAGTATTTGAACGTCGTATTGAAAAAAAAATTGACGGATTATCAATATTTCCGTTCACAGAAGTATAATCTCTATTTATATTCTGGTCTATAAACGACATATTATTTACCCCTCTAAACTGCCAGCCTTATTTTCACGTCAACTTAGTTACGCAGCAAGTTCTGGCCTGAAGTTCAGGATTTCATCTTACATCAGATGTACGGTCGCCTTTTATCATAATCCAAAAAAAATACAGACGGATTTCAAATACGTGGTTCTTACTGACTCACGGACAAAAAAATACGTTGTAGAACTTAAACTTTGTTTTTTGACGTTTCAGGCTAAATGTTGGGGTGTTATAAGTTGGAGTTGAGGGGGTAGGTACATTTGTACGTTTCTAACCCCGTGTTCCTACGCACTTTTTAGACATATTGCATATACTCGTATATAGTTCCCCGTACAGTTGCATTTATGACTTAAATACTAAAATATAAATATTTTGCGTCAACTATGACAAATTAGTGGATAATGAAGACTCGTTGTGCCTAGTTTCCTGACTTGATCCATTTAATTCCTTTACTAGCTAACTTCTGTTTTAATAGGGGTCAACTTGTACCGAACATTATCTACTATGACCTTGTGTCAACGATGTGTGGGAAGTGCAGAGTCAAGATACTTGACGCCATTTTTTGCAATACAAAAGAGAAGGGTTCCAATCCTATCGATGACAGGTTTTATTTTTGTCGTCTCCAACTTGGATTTCTTTCACTTGCATGCAGGTTAAAGTCTTATACCCGTACCTGACTACAGACTGGCCTGGGGCAGCATAGTCATTTTGTCTGTCAGCAAAATCAATGGTTGCATCTTAGCTCGTCTTTAGAGGAAGATTAATGTTTTGACGTGAACAGAAACATCTCCAGAGTATACGAATATGAGCCTGTCCAGTATGTATAGCTTGTCACGCTCACGCCGAAAGAAATTAAAAATGCTCAAGGGTTAATTGCCGGAGAATCTCGTTTTGATTTCGTCTCCATGACCAGCTCCTAATTAAAATTACAGGTGTGTTCGCCTCACTTACATCTCGTGATTGAATGATAAATGGACAGCGACACAGTGGCGATCCTTGAGGAGTAAAACCGTTGCATGTTCGAAATACATTAGTTCTGCTGAATAGTAGTAACTCTGTACCACACGATTATTTTGAGCAAGGACAAATTTAAATGCTAAACTGACATTTTTTTCGTAACCAGTCATTCATTTTCCAAGACAGGTCTGCAAGTTGAATGACAAGAGCGATTTTTTTTTCAAATATACTCACAATTTTATATTGTCAGAAATAAACGGTGGTGTGGGTCAAACTTAACACTTCCCCGATTATTCTGACTGTCAACCGACGATCTGAATGCACATGGTTCTAGATGAGTGCCTTCCGCTGCGTGATTCACCTTTAACCGGTTCTCGCCCTTCTGAATATGCCTTAAGGCGGCTCCAACGCAGTGAGTTTCAAGCCATTTACAAGGGTTCAGCTGCTTCAAAACTGACACTCCATTTTTCAATATTTTTGAACGAACTTCATAGAGTATGTTGAGAAGATAATTGCCCAGGGTGCTATAGGAGCACTTTTTGAACTTTTTGCACAAGTGTTATGATGGGTTGAAGTGCGCACTTTTTCTGTTCAACTTCCGCGATTTTTTTAAAAAGAACCTAGTGAAAAAAATGAAAAAGTGGCTCTATAGCACCCTGTGGGATTTTGTTTTCAGCACTCTGTGAAAATTTCATCCGAAAATATCAAAAAATAAAGCGTCAATTCCGAAGCGCGCAAACCAAGCGCGTATTTTGGACGAATTTTGTCTACTGTTTCGTGCTGCCAAACCAAGCGTTGCGGCGCAATGTACGGACTAAGAAAGGACGTATTCAGATAATTTGCTGGCCCTATTTCATATAAAATCGCGTAGATAAGTCGTTCTGCAAATAGGTACTCATAATCACGATCGCTGATACTCCTCGATTTTAAAGGCCGTTTTACTTCCCACCTCATTGGCGAGGAAGTATTGTAATCGCGAAGAATTTCTAAAATGAGATGTTATGTTTTTTTAAGTCATATGACATCTACATCACGAAAAACTATATCACTCGTCATCAACTTGGAAATTACCGCTCGGATTTTTACGAAATTTCCACACGGGGTTACTAGTATGCCAAAGCTTTGTAGGCAAAAAAGAAAAAGTAACAATTGCTGAAACTCCGTTTTTTGACGTTACAGGGGTTCCTTATCATTGACATAAAAAATTGTACTGCTTGAAAAGTGGGGGTTGGGGGAAGGTGATTCTAAATGTTGCATCTTTGATATCAGTGAAACACGTTCTATTATTAAGAAGCTTCTGGTCCCAGTGATGACAGGAAATTTAAGTAACGAAAATCCGACGAATGATGTGCTCACGATTTGAAAAAATCGGTACCAGCTCTATAGGTTTGACACCAAGAGCCAACATATCTATCTGCAACTGCCGACAGTAGGGAAGAATGAATTCGGATATCACTCCAGTCAAGTATATGGGAATTTAGCGTGGAACTTAAAATTATCGATATGTCAAGGAAATATGTTTTTGAGAACGATAATTTGGTAGATTTTATACCTGGATTTTCATTTGAGTTTCATGACCCGTGAAATGTACCCATTTCACCGTTACCTGCAATTTTTGTTTTTGCAGTCTGTGATGTTTTCCTGGCTATAGGCAGGACATAATTGCCTAGAGTGCTATCAGAGCTTTTTACAAAATTTTGCCTTTGCCCAAGAATTATGAGTTGAAATGCTCACTATTTGTGCTCAACTTCTTGGCATTTTAAAAAGATCCTAGTGGATCGCAGGCACCCTGTGGACTTTGTTTTTAGCACGCTGCAAGAGTTAAATTTGGAAATAATAAAAAGTAATCTGTGAAGTGCATTTCGGTTTTTGGGCGAAATTCATCTACTGTTTCGTCCCGTCAGTCCAAGCGACGCGACGGTGCGTTCCGACTAAGAAAAAATGTATTAAAATAATTTTATACCTTTCCTAAAATAAATTCAAGAACTCAAATTCTAATCCGTTTATTCATGTCAATAAATACAATTATGTTTACAAGGGTCGTGTGGTAGATGGTAACAATTGAAAATATATTATGCCGTCAAAATAAGAGGAAACAGTTAGGTAGTTTTTGCAAAGCAATAAAAAGGTAGGCTTATACCTGGATTAAGTACATGTCTTGTCTACTTTAATAGGTAGATGGAGGTGATGCTGCCAGAAATGGCTGTGTGCGATCAATAAACAAACGACAAGATTGAACTGCCGTGTCCATTGATTTTTGTATTGCCTTACTAGAAAACTCTGTTGGTATATGATGGAGTTTACTAGAAATTTACAGCTTGTTGTCTGCCTTCTTCTACAAACTTCACCAAATCGAGACGCTGTCAACCTTATCCTCCGATGAAGACGCCACAAGGCACAGTCCAGTGATTTGGTGACTTGTTAGATATGCAAAATGTCGTCGTCACTTTTTCCCTAAAAATTCTTGCTTAGCAACCTCCAAATCAATGTCGTTCATGTCAGGTTTTTGACAGAATTCGCCATAAAACTATATATTTTCTTTGGAATTGCTATCCGAATTGTTAGTTATTTTTATATCAACTTTTTTTTGTCTGAGTTTCTTTCCAAGATTCTTGCGTTTGAGTCTTTGTTCCATCTTAGTGATAAGCGAGGTTGGACTAAGCTTAGAACGCAAATGTATTTGGACCACATAGACAGGCCGCTCGGTATTGTGGCTCACTACAGCTGCAGCATATCTTCCATGCTATGACCTCTTCTTGCAATAATTTATTCGCTTACCCCAATGTATTTTGCGATTATAGAGTTGAACTGCTCTACACTATTGTTTCCTCATCATGAATTAAACTCACTGAATTCGTAATTAAAATTGTCGCATATGACCTTTTACTGTCCATTATCAACCTTGATAAAAAATTCACTCAAGAACAATCACACCAACAAGAGTACAATACAACAATTCAACAACGCAATATCAACGAACAGTAACAAGGGTAGAAGAATGATCACTAGCTGAGTACCAAAATATTAAGCGATTTACAGGCTAGATCGCTAATCGAAATCTGACTCTGTTATTATAAAAATTTACCTCGGTAGGCATCGGCAGTCATCCTTTCCTCTTTTAAAGTAGCGCCGATCACCGTCTAAGACCAGCCCACAATCGTTTGGTGTATATTTAAACGATTTTCTTTTGTTAATTCTCAGTACGCTACTGCCTATCTTCCACTGATACTCCTAAATAGCAATTTGCTTATTCACTTTAATAACAACCTGTCAAAGCGGATACTTCATTGTTCTTTTTTCGGCCGATGAGCCCCACATGCATAATGATCTCAAATTAACGCGCAAAATTTCCGCCGATCCTTGCTTAATTAAAAACCGTTCGAACATTACTTTGTTCCAAGCTGCTGTCATTTCTGTCTGATGATAAAAATGCGCAAATGAGCCATGGAACAATAGAGTTGAACTGTACGCTGTTCTACTGGTCGGTTACACAAGACAATGCGCCATTTATATCCATCGAATATGATCAATTATATAGTCGCTGACAAGTTCTTTGAACGAGGGAGTACTTTTGCGTCCACTATACAGTTATATAACGTGTATAAACAAGCTAACATAATATGCATCGTTTTCTTATGAAGTGCATTGGTCATAATTAATTTTTATTTTTTAAAGATAAACTAATATTTATGTTATGGTTGTCATCGCGTTGTCCATTATGGCAGTTTGCCAGTTGTCGTTTACAAATCTTTGAATGCTACTGTCACCGTATGCGTTAGCGATAGCGCTGAAAGCAATGTTTTAGCAAAGATTTACTCGTAACTAAACTCACCTTCCTCGACATAAAGGAGCACTCGTCGCGTGCCCTTATATCTTCAGAAGTCATTTCAACGTTCCTTTCATCATATTCATTCCGAATCATCCTTAAGAGACGTGTTTTATCCTGCTCCCCTCCGTCAGAACTCATATTGGCCTGTCTGCTCACTTTTAATTTTCCGACCGGCAAAATTAGAAGCATTGGAAGCAGTAGTACAGACGAGAAGGAGGGCAATTTCCTTCCTCATGGAAGCGCAAAATTTTAAGTCTGCCAGATGAACTTGACAAGCTTTTGCTATTTTCAATCTCTTTGGTGTTGTGTACGTCGAGGACCAGCCGCTATGACCTCACCTTTGCAGTAAGGAAACCAAAAAATTCTCACAGATACTAGCGTATTATACCCACCTTATGTCAAACGTCATATCGATTCTCATATCTGTGTTTATCAGTCGCGAAAGTTCCTATAATTCACTTTCACATGATGCAAGAATTTTATTGGCGATGTAAATTTAGAAATTTTGTTTCATATGCTATATTTCTATTATGGGTAGGAACATCGTTTTTACGCTGTATAAAAAGAAATATCATTATTCTTCCCCAAACACAAAGTCAGACACTTTCTTTCAAGTCGGACCAAGTCCCACGGACCTTGCAAATGAAGAACTATGAGGCAATTACTTACCGGCCTATAGCTGGAGACAGGGCACAAGCACAAGCTTTGAATGCGCAGTCCTTTCCGAGGACGTAGAGACGCCGTGTTAGCTTGCCATTGTTTTTTTGCCGTGGGTAGTGTGTTTTTACAGGCTGTCGTGTCGACAAGGACTAAGCGGAAACACGGAGGTGCACTTAAAACTCTTGGTATGTTACCAGAGTCTATGCGACATGCCCGCCACCAGAGCGGCCAATGAAAACGCACTGGAATCTCTAATTCGTATGGTCTACCATAGAACCTTTAACAATAAAATAAAAGCGACTCGACAGTAGTAACTAAAATAAAAATTTTAAATATAATATTTCCCACTTTGATCACTCACAATTTCAATATACCTACTTACAGTTAGACACATTATTGAGACAGATTTAGAGAAACTTCACATCTATGTCAAAATGTATCAAGCAATTGAAGCTGTAGCTCATAGTGTATAAAATTTTAAAGCTGAAAATTTCGATTATAATGCGTATATGTATCAATAATTACTGTCGTCCTGGCTACACGGTTAACAAACATCACATTCCAAGATGAATACTGACGGATCACAGTGTGACACTCGCCTTAATTTCATTCTATAAAATTTTAATATACCCATTTTTTAACGAATCTAACAACTTATCCTGTGTCAAAATCCGTCAAGCTTCTTAAGCTGCAGCTCGTATAATGGGAATTTTAAAATTGATATTGTTATGGATCCGTTCAAGAGCGACAATGTATTTATGGTTATTGCTTTTGAGTTGTTTACATCTGCATTGAGATTTGCTTATTTTAATGAAAAATCAGGTGAAAGGGGGCTGTTTGCCCCTTCGGTGCGTCGACGGGGCGAGGACACCGATCGGGTACTCGGCGTTGAGCGAAAAGGCGGTGCGGGTGGTTTGACCCTTCGGAGATTTTATAATTCAAAAAATCCTGTTAATTTCATTATTTCACGCATCTTAACGGTTTATGACAAAATGTTTTTGCCATTTTAATTTTGTAAAATTTTAGCATAGTCGTTGCACTGTCAATATACATCTAGAGACACCTCATGTCTCAAAGTCCATCAAGTAGCTAAAGATGCAGCTCGTGAAACAGGAATTTGATGCTTGAATTTGCTTATTAAAATCCGTCACATTAATTTTATAAAATTTCAATATACCCGTTGTCACTCCCACAGCTAATACAAATCCAACAATATCTCAATTGTCAAAATCCATCAAACCGTTTGGCCTGTAGCCCTTGAAATAGGATCTTTTGCAATGCAACTCCTAAAAATTATCCTGTGCTAATAGGACTCCATTGTCTGGCCTTTTATTTGAAAAAGGTCACAGTGGTGGTATCGCGTTTAGGTTTTTATTTTGGGTTGGAAGAGGGCTATTAACTAGACCTATGAATACATTTTCATACACACAATCTCACTTTTTGAACTTACTCTAAACCATACAGTTTCCACCGAAGAGACTACGCGTATATTCCGCTATCAGTCAGATGATGTTTCCCTTTTTGTCCACGTTGTGCGTGGCGATCGGTTTAGTTCCCCCCACTGTGCACTCCGATCCCGGAAAATACAGGAATTTTCTACTTAAATCCGATAATAACAAATTCAATTCAAATATACAAATTGTTAATAAAAGTTAAAAATAGGCACATAATAACAGTAAAACAGCAGTTAAATGAAATGAAGCAGGTCACAGTAAAACCAAATTTTCCGCAATTAGAATAATAAGAGAAAAATTCGTCAACAGTATAAAAACAGTGACCGATCAGAAACCTTCTCAAATTTCGTTTGATTGACCTGTCGTTTGTTTCTGACTTTACGTTATCCAGTAGATTATTGAAAATGTTTAAAGTATTGATGCATTTATAGCTAGAAATAGGTAAATGTAATTGTCTTTTTGTTCTGGTATTCTGCGTGTAAATATCACTGTTTACAAAAAATTATGGAGCACCCTGTAGGATATCTGAGAACTTGTTCTAGTCACCACCTTCTATACATGCATTTCTGATTTTTCTTTTCTTTTTCAGGTGAGTACACTCTTATCTAGACTGTTCCATCTCTCTCACGTAAGTACATAATATTAATTGGTCGTTAATGGATTCAACATAAGTTTTTAAAAATGCACACTTTTCTGAGTTTCTGTCTGAACGTTAATCTGCTAGGATATAATTGAAATATGCGAGCCTCCGCCAGTGTTGTCTGCCTTAGGCACACTAAACTTGACCAATCTAGTTTGAGAGTGAAGTGTGAATCCTATATGATAAGGAATCGCACCAATAAACTTGACTTCCTTTCGGTACATTTGAGCTTTACTGACCAAGCTGATTTTGCCACAGATACAGGTTGTCCTCGTCCTTTTTCATTTATTATTTGAAAATTAAAAGCTAAATACTATTCCTCACAAGTATGATAGTATTCTAAACTGGATCGCAGGTTCCTGAAATTTTATTTATCTGGTGGTCAATCGTTCGATCGAAATGTTTATTGGTGCTCTTTGGCGTTTGGTTGAAAATATAAGCCATCTTCTCTAACCGCTTTATCCCCTGTTGCTGTATGAGCCATATTACGGGCCTACTACAACCAATGTAGTGTGACTCAATGTGTCTCTGGAGTACTAGATGCCAGTGGTTGAGTAAATGTCATTTACACCGATTTTAGTAAATACTGTAACAAACTTGATCACAACATCTCATTAACGAAATTGGGCAGGCAGGAGGTAATATATTCAGTAGGAAGTAAGTTAATCTAAGGCATATTACTAAGTTCAGGTGTCCACCAAGGCTCATGCCTGGATCACACTCTCTTGTATTTCTGTACAAAACAGTTCTTGTTATTTACGACTTCCCATCTTTCACGACACTCTTAAGGTTCAATACCCTATTTTTTTACCCGAAACACGCTTTTACATCCCTGGAACGAACTAACAAATGCACTCACTTCTATAGTCAATGTTATAATAATCTTCAGGACTGTTTTAAGATATCCGATACAAAATCATCACACATCAAGCAAAACTGTAAAAATGTAGCTTAGTTAGTGCGTATTATATTACTTTGTTATCTTGATGGATTCCCACCAGTGACTGGTATATATGTTGGCAGTATATTAATGAATGAATAAATAAATTACAGACGCTCCAAACCACGTGATTATTTTGTGAATAACAGCTCTCGTGAAATATTCAGACACACTACGGCAATAACGTAGCTAACAACAGACGGCATTCTCGTCATTGACCCAGTATTGCCAAACAAAAGTAATTTAACAAAATTGCGTTCTACTGGGCCACCCTGTATATCAACGTTCTTATTCCTTTTATGGCAATGAAACCATATGCATTTAAAATTCTTCTTTAATGTATACGTTTCGGTTACAACGCTGACCTGTTTCGGCATATCAGACTTTTTGACAATGTTTTATTTATCTGTCTTCCAAGTGACACTTCGTTTGTTTTTCCTTTTCATTTTCAGATTTTCGCTCCCGCTCCCAAAAAGACATCTAGACCCCCGCCCCAATTATGTGAAAGTTTCGTGGAATTAAATACTTCCAACTAACAATTATCACTCCTATTAGAGTTGCAAGAATGATTATACAGTATTCCTTAAACAGCATTGGAACATTGGCAAAACCCTCTTAGAACAGCTATACAAGCGGAATGGGCACACCTAATAGGACACTTCAGTCATTTAAGAGGTTAAATAAGGGCTGCAGGTAACAGTTATAGAACAAAAGTGTAAGCTTCTTGCAGCCGCTATAGGACATTTGCGTCAGTGCAAGATTCAGTTTTTGTCAACTATACAACTATTCTGTTACGTGATTCTACTTTATTGCAACCAAACTATTTCTCATGTATTGTATAGACGAAGTGAAGAATATATAACTAACACATTACAGTCATCTTGTTTACTTATATATCGGCCGTTGTGAATTTCATACACAGGTATATGATAAACCTCTATACTGTGATATAGGGCTATTGGATTACTTGCGCAGCAAATTTTATTGTGATTATCGTGCAGATTAGTTACCCAATTTCTACGGGCTTCGTATTTGATTCATATTTTGACAATGATCAAAAGTATGTCTGGATTTTTAAGATGGAAAACTGCACTTATCTGCGTTAAATCTTCCGCAAATCCTATATTTAGACACAATTACACTAACGTTTATCAGTTTATATCTGTAATTTCGAACTGAAACATAATTATTTAATATTAAATAGAGGAATAAATGTTTCCCCAATATGGTGGTTGGTTGTGTACAATCATGGCATCGGCCATGTTGTCTTTAGGTTATTAGAATATTTTGGTGTTGCCTGCAGGTGTTATACAACAATTTGACAAATGTCTGAAATGAAATACCGACAGAGTCGAATGATTTACCCAGAATTTGTACCAGATCTATATCTTCTGTTTGAACAGTTGATAAAACCTTTTGAACCAATATGCATGCATTGTTTGTC